TTAACTATTGATTATAAATTCAACTATCACATGATCAGGTATCTGTATATACGCCATACATGATGAGTCCTCACCATAAGCACAGAAATTTCAAGAAATACATGTAATCCAGAGCAGTTGAGACATAGAGGGACATGGTGGACGAGTTTCAGACCTCTACCACTGGGTCACGGGTACAAGGCCTACGTTGGGCAGTCGCCAGGTCACCAAAGGTCGTCAGGGCGCCACGGGGCGCCATAGGTCGGTGTTTTTTCTCTAGACGCTCTGGTTTTCCTCCAATTGAGCTACCTGTTCACCAGTAATTGACCCAGTCAAGTTCTGCTACATTCCTCCCTCCTTTTTTTCTATATCCTCAACCCGTAATACAACACTATTTACAACCAAGATTTGGGTACCCCCTTGCCAAATGTTTACCCCATACTTAAAACAAGGGTTGGTCACGTGCATGGCACCAGTGTTAACAGAAGAGAGAGAAATGCACAGGCAGACCTGGATTCAAACCCAGGACCCTCTGAACTGTAGACAGTTGTGCTCTAGCATTTGAGCTACCTAGTTACAGACGATCGACCAAGCCCTACAAAAACAAAGTCCATTTAAGGACTGAAATCCTTGTAAGATGACATCAACAATTTACCAATATATGGCATTTATAACACTATATATGCCACTGCTATTTGGTTGGGTTACATTAGGGGGATGCCATGTGACTGTACAAATCTTAGATTGAACACTGCTTTGATGTACATTTTTTCACTAGAGGTATGTCACAGTGGTGAACCATCTAGTCGCTAAGTGATAGTACATGTGCAAGTGGTGAACCATCTTGTAGCTTGTGGCTGATCACTCGGCTAGAAGGCTAGCACTGCCAATACAACTCCAGACTTGTAACTATAATCGTTGGTTCAACTGCTATGAGAATACTTGGGGAAGCTGACAATGGTTATAGATACATGAACAACAGATTGTACATGTTCTACCGTCCATGTCTGCGTCAGAGGCAGCCTGTACACGATGTCCTATTCAGACATGTGATAAGTAAGTGCTCTAACTTTCACTGCCCAGACCTGGCCAGATGATCCCCATATATGACATTTTGCTGTGAAGCTATACGGGTCTAGACACCATGTAGATTATAGATGACAACAAAAACTGGCCATCAAAAAAAAAGCAATTAAATGGAAGTCCCGCGAGAATTATACAGGCAACAAGTTTGGCCATTTCAACTCTACACACCAAAAACCAATATGACAACCCCAGTTTATATGTCACCTTACATATAGAGGAAATCTATGATGAAGGGCTAGTTTTCCATGTCATAAACCCAAGTAACATCTTCACAGGGGAGCCAAGCAATAGGTCCACAGAAGTGATGGGCTCAGGATCAATTATAATCAAACATTGATCAGTTTGCACTTTCTGATTCCAATTATCAATTGCAAATTCCATAATCGAAATTATCAGTTCATCATTGAAATCAAATTATTTTAATGTATTCTATGTAAAATATGCTTTGAAAGTCACATATTGTTATGATTTATATTATATGACTGATAAAAATGCAAAATAGTTGATTGATATCAATTCATTATAAAAGAATGAAACCTAATGTATAGTGAACAACTCTGTCTTTTGATGTAACAGTAGTGTTCTCACTTTGTTTGGGTATTCCGTCCCAAAAAATTATAAACCGATTGCAATCGATCATTGATCGGTTAACTACTTCCGATTATAAACCAATTATCGATCATGTTTTTAAACCAATTGCCCATCACTAGTTCTCAGCATTACAGAGAACCCTGTTACTGTACCACTGGTATCCTTTTCCCTAGGTACCATTACAGACAACCCTGTTACTATATCACTGGTATCCTTTTCCCTAGGTACCATTATAGAGAACCCTGTTACTATATCACTGGTATCCTTTTCCCTAGGTACCATTATAGACAACCCTGTTACTATATCACTGGTATCTTTTTCCCTAGCTGGTACCATTACAGAGAACCCTGTTACTATATCACTGGTATCTTTTTCCCTAGCTGGTACCATTACAGAGAACCCTGTTACTATATCACTGGTATCTTTTTCCCTAGCTGGTACCATTACAGAGAACCCTGTTACTATATCACTGGTATCTTTTTCCCTAGCTGGTACCATTACAGAGAACCCTGTTACTATATCACTGGTATCTTTTTCCCTAGCTGGTACCATTACAGAGAACCCTGTTACTATATCACTGGTATCTTTTTCCCTAGCTGGTACCATTCAAAACATTTCAACTGAAGCGACATGTTCTCTCCCAATCAGTTTTTCATTATTGTTAATATTTGACATGATTTTACATTTTTCATCAGTAAATCTTGCGCTAAATTTCAAAGGCAAAGGTAGAACTGGCATATATAGAATCTGTTCTGGGAGACACTGGAAAAAATATTCTTTCTTAAGATATGTCATATATTAGCCCTTTTAACCCTATGTAACTTTACTAGACTGTACCATGCATTGATATGGATGAGTCCGTTATGGTCTACAGTGGTGAAAGGGTTTATTGAATTCCAATGGGACTGCACAAAAGCAGAGAGTACTCAAACATATTTTTCAAAAAAAAATAATTAAATGACCTTATCTTTTTCTATTTGGTACACTCACCAAACAGAGCAAACACAAGTAGTTCTTATGTGAAATAAGAAACTAGGAAATATGCTTGGAAGGGGCAGCAACGTGGGAGTATGAAATGTCAACAATTATCACTGACTTTACTGTAAACTAGCAATTTATTTACAGCCAGCAGTGTTTTAATTTCTTTTGGTGATCAATATTTTGCAAACAATAATGATTTAAATTGTCTATCATAAAGTGTTGCGGTTAATTTGTGCTTTGCACTGCGACAAGGTCAAACGTTGCCTCCTTGAGGAAATTGAGATATGTTGCCATGGAAACAGTGTTTGCTGCAAACTTTCCATTTGGACTTTATTATAGTTTGATGTTCTTCAATCCCCAACAATTCCGTGTTGATGGAAACATTTAATGTTAATCTTTATTCCCCAAATCTTACATTATTGTCAATCCAGACGGAATGAGTATGCAGGTAATCGCAACTGGTCATAAATCTACAATGTGAAAGTTAAGTAAACCAATCTACCAATTGAAGACAGAAAGCAGAACATTTTTCCTACAACTGAACATGAGTAAAAAACACCAGCTTTCATCCTCTTCTTCATTTCAGCATCAATGTATCATAAAGCCAAAAGGTACGAAGCATCCTCGTTGCAGATTTTAGAAAATGACAACTGCAAACCATCTTCAGTCTTAACTTTAAACCAAAATGAAGTTATGAAATCAATAGAACCTTAATACAGGTATGATTGATTGGCTTTCTGACGCCCCTTACCTGTTCTGATGGTGATACAGTATGTTCTGATTGGCTTTCTGACGCCCCTTTCCTGTTCTGATGGTGATACAGTATGGTCTGATTGGCTTTCTGACGCCCCTTACCTGTTCCGATGGTGATACAGTATCGTCTGACTGGCTTTTTGACACCCCTTACCTGTTCTGATGGTGATACAGTATCATCTGATTGGCTTTCTGACGCCCCTTCCCTGTTCTGATGGTGATACAGTATTGTCTGATTGGCTTTATGACGCCCCTTACCTGTTCTGATGGGGCTACAGTATCTTCTGATTGGCTTTCAGACGCCCCTTTCCTGTTCTGATGGTGATACAGTATGTTCTGATTGGCTTTCTGACGCCCCTTACCTGTTCTGATGGTGATACAGTATCGTCTGATTGGCTTTATGACGCCCCTTACCTGTTCTGATGGTGATACAGTATCTTCTGATTGGCTTTCTGACGCCCCTTACCTGTTCTGATGGTGATACCGTATCATCTGATTGGCTTTCTGACGCCCCTTACCTGTTCTGATGGGGATACAGTATCGTCTGATTGGCTTTCTGACGCCCCTTACCTGTTCTGATGGGGATACAGTATCGTCTGATTGGCTTTCTGACGCCCCTTCCCTGTTCTGATGGTGATACAGTATCGTCTGACTGGCTTTCTGACGCCCCTTACCTGTTCTGATGGGGATACAGTATCGTCTGATTGGCTTTCTGACGCCCCTTCCCTGTTCTGATGGTGATACAGTATTGTCTGATTGGCTTTCTGACGCCCCTTACCTGTTCTGATGGGGATACAGTATCGTCTGATTGGCTTTCTGACGCCCCTTACCTGTTCTGATGGTGATACAGTATTGTCTGATTGGCTTTCTGAGGCCCCTTACCTGTTCTGATGGTGATACAGTATGTTCTGATTGGCTTTCTGACGCCCCTTACCTGTTCTGATGGTGATACCGTATCGTCTGATTGGCTTTCTGACACCCCTTCCCTGTTCTGATGGTGATACAGTATTGTCTGATTGGCTTTCTGACGCCCCTTACCTGTTCTGATGGGGATACAGTATCGTCTGATTGGCTTTCTGACGCCCCTTCCCTGTTCTGATGGTGATACAGTATTGTCTGATTGGCTTTCTGACGCCCCTTACCTGTTCTGATGGTGATACCGTATCATCTGATTGGCTTTCTGACGCCCCTTACCTGTTCTGATGGGGATACAGTATCGTCTGATTGGCTTTCTGACGCCCCTTACCTGTTCTGATGGGGATACAGTATCGTCTGATTGGCTTTCTGACGCCCCTTACTTGTTCTGATGGGGATACAGTATCGTCTGATTGGCTTTCTGACGCCCCTTCCCTGTTCTGATGGTGATACAGTATTGTCTGATTGGCTTTCTGAGGCCCCTTACCTGTTCTGATGGTGATACAGTATCTTCTGATTGGCTTTCTGAGGCCCCTTACCTGTTCTGATGGTGATACAGTATGTTCTGATTGGCTTTCTGACGCCCCTTACCTGTTCTGATGGTGATACAGTATGTTCTGATTGGCTTTCTGACGCCCCTTACCTGTTCTGATGGGGATACAGTATCGTCTGATTGGCTTTCTGACGCCCCTTACCTGTTCTGATGGTGATACAGTATCGTCTGATTTCCTTCCATGTCCACAACATATTTGGTGCCAAGGTCGATTTCTGAAAGAAGAACAATGAAAATTAATTATCTTCAATAAGATTCATCAGTTTGAAAATATGTTTTATCAAAGTTTTACTTTATATACAAACAATGTACGTATCAACTGTGTCGCAACGTTTCATGACCGACTGGTCCCTTTGTCAAGCTAGGACTGAGTGAGACCGACTGGTCCCATTGTCAAGCTATGACTGAGTGAGACATACTGGTCCCATTGTCAAGCTAGGACTGAGTGAGACCGACTGGTCCCTTTTTCAAGCTAGGACTGAGTGAGCGATGCTTCATGATTATTTAATGATCACAAACACGATACAAAACAAAATCTGTACCAGTGTTTCACTAAAAGAAAACATAAGTACGATTACTTTACTTAAAGACAAATTCTGTACCATTACTTCACTTAAAGACCAATTCTGTACGATTACTTCACTTAAAGACAAATTCTGTACCAGTACTTTACTTAAAGACAAATTCTGTACCAGTACTTCACTTAATGACAAATTCTGTACCAGTACTTCACTTAAAGACAAATTCTGTACCAGTACTTCACTTTAAGACAAATTCTGTACCAGTACTTCACTTAAATACAAATTGTGTACCAGTACTTCACATAAAGACAAATCTTGTACCAGAAATTCTTAAAAAACAAAGCAGTTCAGTGTTATGAGTTTGATACCAGAACAGTTTACTGTAATGTACCGATAGGTAATCAAACAGGAATGAATCTAAGATAATGAAATACCGGTTCACAAAGAATTTAATTTAAACATTTTAAAAACTGTTTCGAGATGAAAGGCGCACTACACCTCAGTGTGCTTATTATTCTCTGTGGACATGAAGGCAGCAACACTTGCGTCATTGTAGCAGTGATCCAGGTACGTATGATAAAATATTGATAGTGTAGTTCGTCTCCAACCATACACAGCTAGCAACTATACAATATCATCCAACCATTTACAGCCATTTCTATATACAATAAATATCTCATTTAAACGATGGATTTATTACCAGCTTTTTAACTGGTTACCATTATGGTTTTAGACTGTTAAATTATCTCTACATGAATGTAACATTTGTATACTCCACTGAAAATGTTTTACAATTAGTATACTGGTGTGATGACACCTGAAGGGATGTCACAGATGGAATGAAGTATAGAGGGCAATAACTCTGTTTAAACACGGCTAAAACAGCTGTTTGTTACATTGAAGAAATTGTTCGAGTGTTTAAACAAATTTGACCCCTTTGACCTTGAATAAGGGTCAAGGGCATTTCCTTTTGCAAAATGTGTCCTGCATGATGCTGCCGTTACAGCAAAGAAATGGACAAAATTGCAACAAAATCTGCGACTTACAGTCAACGTGGGTCCGTCGAACAAAAACAAAGGATGAGTTAAATGTGGTGAGCAGCGATGAATTGGCAGTGAACTTCTAGCGAGGCCGAACAATCTTCATACACTTACGACAGACATCAGACATGATAAACGCTATGAATTTTCTATCGAAATATGCTCCTTATATGACAAAATTATTCTATTAAATTTGCCGACTGTCTGTTTAGTTGAAATCATAAAAAATTGTATCTTCACACTTGAAAGATCGATTTTAACAAGATGTGATGACAAAAAAATACAACATCTTTTATCAACTAAAACTAAAAGTAAAAACAACGTCGGTAGACTATACGTATTTACACAGAGTTTGGTGGAAGCCATATATACAGTTCTCACGAGGTAATAAGATAAACAAAAGACAGTGATTGTAATGTGTCTTAAATAGCAATCTTACTCCATGGGCTCATATGTTTTCACAGGTGTATTTTGCCGTTTATTTTAGACAACACACATGTAAAATGAAAAGAAAACAAATGTACAATGTGATATATGTTTTAATTTTTAATTTTACTTCTTTGAATAAAACCAACTGAATCATATTAAACACGAATCATATATATATAATATTATATTATGGGGCCGGAACGATTAAGAATATGGGGCCAGACCGGGTAGGGGCCTGATCCACTAAGGTCGGAACGACTATGGACGGAACAACTCGGGGGCCGGAACAACTTGTATTCACCTATAACATTGCCTTTGATATTGTAAAATGGTAAAAATTAATGGCACTAGTGAAAAGTCAATCCAACTCACTGCTACAAGTTGAACCAGATAAGCGGCTAGAACATTTAACGCATGCGCAACAAGCTCTTATCTCAATTCTAGCCTAGAGGGGGGTACCCAAATTGGCGCTTGACTACGGAGAAATACGATCTTCTGGAAAATTCCACGAAAACCCTGAAAATACACCCCATTTTCAAAACCCTCTAGGAGCCTTTCTGTGAAAGATATCGAAAAACCAAATATATCGTTTTCTTCAGAATAACTTAGACTACTTATGTTTGGAGTTTCAGTTCGTCAGCCTTAAGGGTTAATTCTCCAGGGTGAATTATATAGAAACTAGTGGTCAAAATGCCGATCTCCATAAATAGATTTTTTCCAGATATAACAGATATACAAGGAGGTAGATCGCACTGAGTTCTACAAACATGGAAAGTTTCAGCAAAAGTTATGGAGCCAGTTTTTCGTACTCAAAGTGTGTCGGACGCCATCTTTGTTGTTATGCAGGGAGATATAGTGTGAGTTATCTCCCCTCGCACATGCTTTTATAGATCCCGGCAAGATATCCAATCGGAAAGATCGTTACAAATTAGAAGGGTGACAAAATGTACTTATGTATCAATCAACTGCAAAGGTGGCTTTAACAAAATAACAGAACAGAATACAGTAGAATAAACTTCACAGCGTAAACACACAAGGATAAAAAAACAAATTCAGAAGTCCAGAAATGAAACTTGCTTTAAGTTACTTCAAAATTCAATGACTATAATTACTAGAAGCTTCATAAATTAACTCTCAAATCAACACATCATAATAACTTTTAATTAAACAATAATCATTAGTTATTATTTCGGAATGTATAATAAAATGTTTAATCTGCACCTATTTCCAGTTTTAAATTACCATAATAAACATTCTGTTCTAAAACTTGGTACTGCGCTGTTTATAATGAAGTTTTACAAGAGCGTGAAAATTACGAAGAATTTTCATCTAATCACAGCCACAGATTATGTAAATTTGAACAAAAAAAACATTTCAAGTTCAATTCAAATCTCTTAATATTATTCTACCACAAATGAGCTTTATTATTGGTGCAATGCAATATTTTGTTTTTGAAATGGTCCCTCAAATAGACAGAATTTGCTACAAAATTTCAAAACATTACTGCTGACTAATCGAAACTTATTGGACATTTGTTAAACAGGATAACGGAAATAAACAGCAGATTTTATATACAGTAGCCAGCCTTTTTTTTCATATTGAAAAACACTTGCAAAATGGCAAAATAATGTAATGCATGCATGCGCATATGCACTTCCTGGCAGTGGATGTGGTTACGCTGTAACAACCTCTTGTACGTGTCCCCAACATAACGTGAACAAACAGACCTTGACCGAGACAAGATTGATTTGCATCAATTATTGATATCTATTATAGGTATTGAAACTTTGATCTCAGCCACATCACAGTTAATACTGACAGTATGCACACTAGCAAAGGGACTTAATAATGTACGGGCATAACGACAGCCCGAATGATCTATTTTTACCTCAATTAATTCCTACTGAAAAGCCGTCGACATTGTTTTATTTTTGATTTACGCTTATACGTACATTACATGGATATTTTATAAACAGTCTACACTTATTGAACATCTACAATCCCACCATGATAAGCGCATATTCCCTTCACATCAAAACATGTACATATTGCAACCTCATAAATACCAATTACGATTCCTATCAATATTCACATGCCAACACACACATATAGTCTTATACAACCTTCCCCCCCCCCCCCTCTTGCCCCAACACACACACACACATCCAAACACACACACTCTTGCCTTCCCCATTATATTCTAAGACATTAAAATAAAACAACAGTCTGCTAACATCGTCCAACAGTCCAAGGAAATTCTTTCAAATTCCTAGGGACCCATTTTCTCCGAAATGATGTTGGAATTATTGTGAGAGCGTGCCCTAGAATTGATAAGGTTTGTGAGGTCCTGTTAGCCTGCTCTCAGTCCAGCAGTACCCAGACAGACACTCTATTGATTTTTATAGTACTGGTTCCAACTATAGCCCTGTTGTGTTTCAAAAAGTCAGCCACTTATTCCGTGACGAAAAATACAGGTTCCGTGAAGGCATCAATTAACTGATTGATAATTCTACCCACATCTGCAATTTTCTTGTTATTTTTCAACACAAGTTGAAAGATCCCGTAAAAACATCATACATGTTCATTTCAGTTGTGTTTTGTTTGTTAGAACCATCATACATGTTCATTTCAGTTGTGTTTTGTTTGTAAAAAACATCATACATGTTCATCTCAGTTGTGTTTTGTTTGTTAGAACCATCATACATGTTCATTTCAGTTGTGTTTTCTTTGTTAAAAACATCATACATGTACAAGTCAGTGTGTTTTGTTTGTTAAAACCTTCATACATGTTCAAACCATCATACATGTTCATTTCAGTTGTGTTTTCTTTGTTAAAAACATCATACATGTTGATGTCAGTGTGTTTTGTTTGTTAAAACCTTCATACATGTTCAAACCATCATACATGTTCATTTCAGTTGTATTTTGTTTGTAAAAACATCATACATGTTCATGCCAGTGAGTTTTGATTGTTAAAAACATCATACATGTTGATGTCAGTGTGTTTTGTTTGTTTAAACCATCATACATGGTCATGTCAGTTGTGTTTTGTTTGTTCAAACCATCGTACATGTTCATGTCAGTTGTGTTGTGTTTGTTAAAACCATCATACCTTGGACATCTTCATTCTTGCTGTATTTTGTTTGTTTTAATTGGAAACTAACGTCAATATTTTCTTAAGAGACAGACACTCTATTGATTTTTATAGTACTGGTTCCAACTATA